ACAATCACATGTGATACTATTATTCCAATACATATTATACACATGTGATACTAAATCAGAGACGTGGATGACTTTTAATGCGATCTAGGTTGTAGGCCAAGTCGCTCTTACACCACTAAGTCCCTTCACATGTACTATCACATGTGATAAATGTGTTATTAATGTGATACTATATTCCATCAAGACCATCACATGTGATACTAAATCATAGACGCAAACGACCTTTGGCATGACATCCATACACCACCAAGTCCCCTCAAGTATATTATCAGATGTGATAAGGATGTTCTCGTGTTCTCGTAAAATGGAGGTGTTCTCGTTTGAACCTCCACCTATATATATATATATATATATATATACTTGGGATCATATGAGACCAATGGTCTTTCGTGAGACCCGTAAGATCAATTCTCAATCCTTGGATTAAATATACAATTAATCTGAACATTCATAATCACAAAATTGTCACTGTACAACTTTAGACCATTAGATCATTAGCAATTAAAGTTGATCAATTAACATAAATTGGTCTTACGGGTCTCACGAAAAACTTTTGGTCTCACGTGAACCCAACCCTATATATAGATGCACAAATGATAACTCTCATTTTTAGAGTTATTTCTTATTTATTTTCTTGTTTTTCTCCGTTTATTCTAAAAGTTTTAAAAAGGATGATGAAACACAAAGGAAATTCACAAATTTTTGTTAGTCTTCTACTTTGTGGAGGATGTTTGCTTGAAGATCTTGTTCAAAGATATGCTACAACTAGAGTTGCTTGTAAAGTTGTACTTTTGTATTATTTTAAGTGGTTGTTTAATGGTCTTTGCCCCAAGGTTATTTGTGATTATTGGGTCATCCTTATCCATTCATCTGCTATATAAAGAGATCTTGGGGTTCACTTTGAATATCATCCCTTAGTATTAGCATGTAATTATCTTATTAATTGTAATCTGCTACCCATAGTATCATTATCATGGGCAGCAGACTTTTGTTCTATATTAATGAAAGTTGCATTTAAGTTTTATTTCTTGTCTTATATTATGTTTTTCATGTATATTATGAGCTAATTTACTCGTATGGATCTGGGTGTGAGTTTAACTTAGGATTTTTATACAATATTTGAGTGTTTTACTCTTTACCACTACATAACTTGGTCACTTAAGACGGGACTTAAACTCGACACGGATAAGCCGATCACTTTGAAGTGTTAATATTAGATTTTAGACTCATAGATGGGTGAATCCGAA